ATTATAGAAGAAGAAATATGAACTCAAAGATAATCAAATCTCATGAGCAAAACAGCAACATACAAATATGAGAGCATAAGAGGCACAACACACTAAGGGGGTGTATCCAATTTTAACTTTTAAAGACTTTTTTTAAGTGAGTGACTTTCCTAGAGTTAATAGATTCTTAAAAACTTTTACATACTTTATAAAGTATAAGTGACAAACTTTCATATACTTTTGTCATAGAGTTTTATAGACTTTTAAATACTTATTTTTAAATTTTTATTTATCAAATCTGATCACATAGATAAGTAACATATTCTTATCAAAAGAAATAAATAGTACTCAATCATCAATAATATTTCATAAACACTCACAAATCAACAATATTGGTCAGATTACAAGAGTCTATATTCCAGCAATTCTCTTAGCCCAATACGTGATCAAATTGAGAATATTATATAAAAAAAATTATCCACCTAACGAATTATGGGTAAAGAAACAGTTCCTAAATAATAAATTAATAGGTTTAGGGGCAAAAAATAATATAATAATATATTGTATGCAAACATAGCATATGAGAAAATCAATATAATAAAATATTCATATGCAAACATATTGATAAGCTTTATGATGCAAGTATGAGGAAAAGAATAGAAGAAATATTCATCAACAGAGGGAAAGTAATGTGTGGATGAGAAGAAAAGAAAAAAATTCAAGATTTTTTACTAACCTGGAGGAAGTGGAGACAAGATGGGATACCAGTGGAGCCCTTTAGTTGAAGAAAACAAATATGTCTGCTTGCTGGTTTGATATAATGAGGGAGGAAAGAATTGGAGACGTTTTGTTTATATCTTCTCAGCTTCCCAATACGATATAAAGTCTGGTGTAAATTACCAAGACTTTTGGTAGTAAGAATTAGCTTTAAAAGTATTGACAAGTCATTTATTTAACAAAGTCTTTAAAAGTCATTAACATTTTGGATACCTCAAAACTTTTAAATACTCTTTAAAACTCCCAATTGAATACCACTAAACTTTTAAAGACTATTTAAAAGTCACAATTGAATACCTTTAGACTTTTAAACTCATTAAAATTCATTAAAAGTTAGAATTGGATACATCCCCTAAATAATGCACCCAATAACCTAAGACTATGGGCCCCTACTACAGGTAGCTTTAGTG